GTCCGGTACTGTTTCGACTTCTAACTCAAGATCTAATTTATTGATTTAATTTATAAAATTCTAGCTTGGCCTCTGGTACAAATAACAGGAAGTACATAACTGATCATTAACTGGTGGCCCACTAGCTGAAACCGACCAACCGAACTGTCCAATCTTGGCCATGACTGGATTCTGAAATATCATATGGTCCCCACTATTTGAGCAACTGAAAAAACCCCAATTAAGACTTAAATAAGTACCAGTTTATGACTGTATTTGAAAAAAAACAAAACATTTCATTTAATTTGAGTGTGAGCCAAGGTCTGTCCAGAAAAATCCTTGCTCTCTGACAAATACGGTTGGCGACCCCTGTCTGATTCAAAGAGGTTTTCAATGCAGCATTTAAAAAATCTAAAAAAAATACTCCAAGCACACAAAAAATGAAATAATCTATGTGCGTGTTCTCTCCCTGCATGTCGGGCTACTGCTTCACGATCACATTCATCAGAAACACTTTAGTTTACTCAGACCGACTGAGTTAAGGTGGAGCCCTACATCTTCCTGACATGCGCTTTAAAAACTGCTGTGTCACTGGTCGGAAATTGTGACCACAGTAAAAGCAGTTTGTGACTTGCTTTTCTTTTTCACCTGAGTCACTGTTGGACAGATTTAGCAGCCGGCCCATCTTCCTCAGCAAGATGCACAGGCTGTACCCTTGAAGGGATATTTTTAGTGGGAACAGTCCCCTTCTGACAGCCTGCACTTTGTCTTCACTTAGCACCTCAAAGCTTGACATCATAATAATGTTGTAGGCACAGGGCATGTGTGTTACAGGGAGGTAATTGCTAACAATCCGTGTCAGCTACTGTAGTATGACCTTCGACGGTTGATTTGCTGCATTTTCCAGTTTCACCAAGTTGGAACGCAGCAGAGAAAGGAGGGCAAACCCCAGTGCAGATTTTGGCTGTTGAATTATACATGAGCTGGCTCAGCTAAATGTCTGAATCCTCCGCTGCTTTCAGTGAGGTGCCGTTACTTTTTTTTACAAGGCCAGTCCTCGTCAGTTTTGAATCCATTTGTATTGATCAGTCTCCTCGTCTGCTCAGTACAGCAAAGTTTGTTACTTTAGAGAAATGGTTTCACTCCACATTAGAGGCTTAGGACTGAATATGAGCAGGATGTACCACGTGTATCATTTCAACTTTTCTTTATTAATTTTATTAATATGTGAAAGTATCTAAAAGGTGGGGCACGGTTTGGTCCTGACAAAACATCTGAGGTTAGCAGTTTACCCTAGGTTTGCTAAAAAATACCAAACAAACAATGAAATAATAGCTATAATATTTTATCTAACCTTTAAATAATTTTGATGACTTTTACTGCCGGTTATGGATTTGTGAGAGAAATATTGTCAACATTCTCTACAACATTAGGCAAATACTTCCCTTTCAGATTTTGGAAATTTTATATTTTTTTTTGTTTGAGACTTTGAAAAACGTTATTCACCTAAGTTTAGCTTTTGTCCATAGCATTGGCCGATTTGTTGTCATTGATGCAAGCGCATTAGCATTGGTCATAAACGCTAACTAATGCTAATGACTAACAACAGCAAAACATTAGGGAGGTCCAATAATATCGGCCAAACGATATTATGGGCCCGATATTAGCATAATTATGTAATATCTGCATATATCAGTATCGGTTGATATCTAAATCGGAAATTCAGTGTTTGGACAATATCAGCAAAAAGTTAATATCCAACATCCCTACAAAACATGAACATATTCAGCATTAGTTTTATAGTAACGGTTACAGCTAACTCATGAAAATTCTAATGAGCTAATAACAGTGAAAAAAAGTGCCGCTTAGCACGGCTGTGCTAGCTATCAGCCAAACGGTGACTCTAAAACAGCAGAAAGGCAGTTCTCGGCTTTGTCACTTAAAAGCACCTGCTCATAAATACTTATATTACTTTTGTAACATCTGCCGTGATGGTAATACTATAATCCTGTCTCTTTATCTGAAGGCCAGTGCAGCCTTGCGCTGTTGTCTCTTCATTTACACTTGGACCGAGTCTTGTTGCAGGTCTTTGCCAAGGGTTCTGGTGTCATGCCAGATAAATCCCTCCTCCATCTGTGGGAGCCCCCTCAGCTGTTGTTTCAATGCTGACTTTTAAACCCCCACGTTAATAAAATGCTAATTGAAAGAGCTTTGTGTCCTCCCGGATCCGGTTACTTGTACACTTTCGTAATAAAATCTGATTGTGAGGCTGCTCCATCTGGGGCGTTTTCTTGACTGATGTGCGGCCGTGCACTAAACACTATGGATCTAATTGATTCAAAGACAGCTGACCTGACAGGAGTGAACTGTAGACATTTCCCTCTTGCCTCGGTCTCTAGTTACTGAGTCATCTACTTAAGCTTTGATTTATTAATTGGAGACAAACGTCTATCACTCCATCATCGTCACCGCTAGTTTTCCAAGATAATTTATTGTGGTGGAAATGTTAATGTTGTAAAACTTACATTTTTGTCATCAATAGGAATCAAAGATGACAATTTTATAGCTCACAACTCTTTCGCAAAAGTCCTCTTCCATTTTCAATCCCACAGACAACGTGGGGTACTTTATTCCCTGCAGAAGCCGTTCCCAAAAGTGTTCCCAAAGAGAAGCCTCGGCCTCACGCCTCGTTGACAGTATCAGCCCAAATCATCTGAAGAGCTCAGCGGTGACTCATTAACGGTGCCCACTTTCAATCGATTCATGTTCCACTCTGTCAATAGCCCGCAAGTTTTGTCTATTCAGGCTATCGTTAGCCTAAGTCCGCATCACCATGTGCTTACGCAGCAAATCAAGGGTACCATCTCATTGATTCAATCTTCAGTACATTTGGTCCAGTCTGAGCACTGAAATGGAACCAAAGGAACTGGGACGCTCCTCCAGACTGGTCATGTCAGTGATAGTACACAATGGAAGTGAATACCAATACTGCTACAAATGAAGTATGGAGGTTTATTACAGGGTATTATAGTTAGCCTTTACCACTTTGACCAAATAACCTGCAGGATGTGGGCTGCTGAGTTGGTCTGTTGAAGTATCAAAAGAGACAACATTAAAAAAGAGTAAATTCCGGAGTATGATTTCTTTTTTTAAACTAACTTTTCCAAAGTGGTCGCTCTGATGGGACCTGAATATATGTGAAACTTTAAAAGACCTTTCAGAAAATTCAGCAATATTCAACATAATTAAATGTCGCTTTAGTCATCCCCATAAAACTTAGAGTTCAACCCTACCAGAAATAAATAATTGGTGAGTTGGTGAATTTCAGTCATTCCTGGGCATCTAAATGTTGGTTTGTAAAACACATGCTTTGTTACAGAGTTTATATGTTTAAAAACAAAACGTCACTTAAGAGGTGTTTAGAATTAATAAAACACAAACAGCTCCTGCTCTCGTAGCTTGTGTAGACGAATCAAATTTGAATGTCGTTCTTAAATGAATAATAACTAATCAGCTGTGGATATATCCTAGATGTTATCAACCTGTGTTATGTTTGTTTGTTGTTTTCCATTGTAGGGTGAGGGGGATGGTGGAGCTGAGCCGTGCCACTGCTGTTTATCAGCAACAAGACCTCTCTGGTTGCTAAGGTGGGCCTGAGGCTCCCTGGCAGCAGAGTGCACCTCGGGGCCCCAGGGGCCGGCACTCTGTGACGCGTTGGAAATCCCCCCGAGCCTGAGTCTCCTAACAGCACCGTGTAGGACAGGATGAAAAGAGGGATGTAAAGGAGGACGATCCTCTGCAGTCACTCACTGTGAACGTTGTTTTCGTATTTACGAGCGTAGGATGGTTTCCTAAATAGAACCGTGTAGTCAATAATATCCTCAAGATCATCGGAGACTTATGTCCAATTGTCTGCTGTGGAAAAGGTCCTGACTGTGACACATAAATAGATAGCTTAGCCACACGAGCTACGCTAATGCTATTCACTGATTTAAGGAGTATTTTAAGTTATTTTAGCGCCACTTATATCAGATAGTTAGCTTTTGGCTATCTCTCAGCTCTTACTTGCTAACCTTTTTTTTTTCTGTTTTGCGGTAAACGTTCCATGCAGGACTGTAACTATCAATAGCTACGTATTTCCAGGCTATATATAAACAAATATAAATGTTAGATCAACTTTCCTGAGCTAACTTTATGAGATCATATGTTTACCAGAATTGTATTGTTTTTTTATAGCCAACTTTTACAGATTTAGATTTGTTGTTCATTATTTGGAGCTTTTATTATTTTTGGACCTAGTTTATAAATTATTTGTAATTTTTTGCTATTTAAGCTAGTTTATTTTTATTTATTAACATATAGCTCTATTGGCAGTCATATCACTTGTGTAATCTATTTACTGTCATTTTATAATAAAAAAACATTTAAAACAAGGAGACCTACATGACAAAAAACTTGGTTTTCAAGATGAAGTTACAAGAAATTGTACAATTTCTTTGCATGGACGTCAAACGCCTGCACTGTGAGAAATCTGAAGGCTCATTGTCTCATACATAGATGTGATCTCAGTCTGAACAAATGGCAGGTATTTGATTTATGCTCAGCGCAGGTTTTATATTTTCTTCAGTTGCCGGGTGCAATACTCACAATAATAACGTGCAATATGACCAGGCAAAATATTTGGCTGTGTAAACTTCCTGAACAAACAGCAAAGGAAGTGTCAGACAAGATCACCATTCGCTCTCCTGGGACTGTTTTTACACCTTCCTTCTAAATAAGGCAGCAGGCTGCCAGGACATATGACCACTGTCCCGATTTGGTTCCTGGACACAGTATCCATCCATCCATCCATCCCATGATTGCTCAACAGCAATGAAATTCAAACACACACACACACACATATTTGCATGACTAGCTAGGACTCTGCAGTGACTTTTATTGAGTTGGACCACATAAATCAAAACAGTATCCTTAACCTTCAGTTCAAGTTCAACCCAAGTATGAGTAACATCTAGTACAACCCCTGAAATAAATAAAGTTTATATTGGGTATTCATGGTGGTCCTGACAAGATGAGGGTACCAGACAAGGTCCTGACGAGGTAACAAAAACAGGTACAGACACACACACACCTCTTGCAGGTCTTCCATGTAAAAGAGCAGTGTCAGGTTGGTAATATTTGTTCACAGGAAGCCTGTTAAAGTGGACGACCAAACTTTCAAAATAAAGCCAATGTTATGCAAGCATGTATCCTCTACATGACTTTCCAGTACAGTTGACAAACCACGTGGGCTAGGTGAACTAACCAAGAGGTTAACCTTCCTTATAAACTGTTGATAACTGCAGTAATGGTTAAAGCAAGGTGGAATTTGGCAGAAAAGTTTTATAGAACTATATTTAGCCACTTATAACAATAATTCAACTGTCAGAGTTCACCTTCAGTTTATATATATAAAAAACCCGCTAAGACTAATCAATCTCGATATTACAATTGCGTGTATAGCACCACCTATAGGGGAGGAAATGCAGCTTCAGCTCTTTAAACCAATGAACACCAGAAATAAATCCCCGAACCGCAGGGCATTATGGAAATGAACGCAAGAAGAACAGGAAGAAGAATCACCCTGCAGCAGTAATCTGCATAATGATTTGGCAGTTTTTACATGGGTGCACTTCCTCAGCCTACCTGGCACCTTGTGGTGGGAGGTAGCAGAATTTAATGTCAATTCTTTAATATTATTTTTTTCCAAATTAATAAATATTAGAATTAGTCCCTGTGACCACTGGTCTCCCATTTACCGAGGGTTGTTTTTTATTTTGAAATGTTGCACAGGAAACATTTGCTCCTATTCACGCTGACTTGTGTGACAGTGAATGAAGGTGCAGCACATCCCATCACTCCTGTCAGAACTATTGCTGCTGCTGCTGGGGTCCTCCAACACTCCTCCTCCTCCTCCTCCACCACCACCTCCTCCTCCTCCCATCGGCTACTCCTGATGGGGGGTGCGGCGGACGGTGAAGTCACTGTGATGTCATTTTAGGATGTGGGAGTCGGGGGCAAGGTGAGCTGGTTTTGCGGTGAGTGGAGTGTCCACCCCCTCCAGAGCCAGCGCGTTGCCTGTACAGAGAGAGGAGCGGAGCGGCGAAAGATGATCATCGTCACCGGCACCAATTCAAGCTCCGACGCGCCGTGTCCCTCTCCTTCTCCTCCTCCTTCTCCTTCTCCTCCTGCTGCTGCTGCTGCTGCACACATCTACAGCTATGGGGCCTTGAAAACCAGCCTTTACCATCACCATGCCAAAGGACAGAAAATAAGAAGAGTTGCATTTTTAGGGCAGGCAACTTTGACCACGTGCCCCAAAGGTGAACTGGATGGCCATTGCGCAGAGGTGCCTCTACTACAGTATGTCCAGCGGGGCCAGGACGCACTGGACGTTGCCAGCACTTATTGTACTGTGGACTTCTCTGTGGGGGATCGCTTCAACTTATCCGATTCCGAGCAGGACTAACGCGACTTTGCTGGAGAAGAAGTGGGAG